CAATTATAATGTGCCACATCATGTTGTGGCACCATAACATGTGCCACATGTGGCACCATAGAATTTCTGACAAAGATGGCTACTTTTCATTTTTTACTTCACAAAGTGGCTATAAAACGGTGGCACTGTTTTTTTCACCAGTCTATACTTTTTAGAATAAACTTTATTATACAAAAGTGCACAAAATCTACCCTACTCGATCTTTAAAAAATGATTATATAAAAGTTTAAGTTAAAAAATTATTATATAAAAGTTTAAGTTGTCTTTTCAGTTGTCAACCCAATATCCAATTTATAATAAAGATGCATAGTCAACATTATTGAGATAGGATATATTCAATTTTAGATAGGGCTAAGCATGGGACTCAGAATTTTGAACCATACCGAAAATCAAACTGGAATTCTGAATCGAAATATAATTGTTGATCATTTGACTTTCTCTGTACCGAACCGACCGGAGAAATAATTGGTACGCCTCTAGAGATTTCACAAATATCCGTACTGAGAATCCAACCGAAATAACACATACCGTTTCATACCGAAAAACCGAAATCAAGAACCTTATTATAACTTTAGATGTGTGTTGTTAATATATTTTATGTGAATTTTGATCCTATATAATTTGAGATTTTTTAAAATGCAAATAAAATATAGTGCTAACAATTAAACTTCACTTCTTAGTAGTATTTGATTTACAATTGAATTTTTCATGTTATAAAAAGATTAGTTAAAATGTTATGAAAGGTTAAAAAATATTTTTGTAAGAAAAAACTATATTATATTTTGTTTGACTTTAAATTTTCAAGTGGACCGGCTTGAGCCGTGAGCTCGGGTTCGGCTGGTCCAACAATGATAAAGCCCGCTTATGAGATTTAAAAAGATATATGATATTGGTTAAATACCTATAAATATTTAGAAAAGACTACTAAAAGGGATGGAAATAGGATGATGTATATCCACAACCTTATTAAGAATGATCAGAATCCTTAGATAAGAAGGAAACTCCTTGTCTTCAGTAGTAAGTCGTTAAGCTTCTTACAAATAAGGGATTCAAGATTTATATACCCTAAGCTCTTAAAATTACTCATCATACCTAATTAAATAGATGATAGTTTTTTGACTTAAGTGTCAGAGTGTCTACGCCGAAGCCATGCCCCGGCAGTTTGCAGGTCGATCCAACTCTTGAAGGTTAAGGCGGTCGAGATGTTCAGAACTCTTAGTCAATCGAGACGAGACGGTTGGATCAACAGTCTTATTGAATTATCTTTTGGTCAATCACACTACTTACCCCAAACAAAAAATCATTACAATTTATTTTTATGAAAAATGGGTTTCAAAGTACTTTGTCTTTTCAGCAGCCTATACATTTTAGAATGAACTTTATTATATAAAAGTGCACGAAATCTACCCTACTCGATCTTTAAAAAATATTATATAAAAGTTTAAGTTAAAAAATTATTATATAAAAGTCTAAGTTGTCCCTTCAATTGTTAACACAATATCCAATTTATAATAAAGATGCATAGTCAACATTATTGCAATAGGAAAAATTCAATTGTATATATGGCTAAGCTTGTGATCAGAATATTGGGCCGTTCCAAAAACTAAACCGAAATCAATTCGAACCGAAATATAATTGTTGATCATTTGACTTTCTTCGTACCGAACCGACCAAAAAAATAATTGGTACGGTTCTAGAGATTTCACAAATATCCATTCCGAGAATCCAACCGAACCGTCCCATACCATTTCTAACTGAAGAACTGAAATCAAGAACTGAATTATAACATTAGATTTGTTTATTAATATATTTTAAGTCAACTTTGATACTATATAATTTTAGAATATTAAAATTGAAATAAAATATAGTGATAACAATCAAACTTCACTTCTTAATAGTATTTGATCTACAATTGAATTTTTCCTGTTATAAAAAGATTAGTT